GAATACAAGTGACCCCCCAAAAATGCACCGCTGAGGCGAAGACATACTTTTCTACTCCCGTGCAAGTCTGCCCTTCTTTCCGCTGAATAGGTCTGCTAGGAGAGAGTGCTCGCAAGGATCGCGGCAGCCAACACAAACTCATGACGCAGGAGGCAGTTCGGTTGTTTACCCAAAACCCCAAGTTTTATTTTGGGTGCAGTTCTGCGACACACACTTTAAAGGGGTACTGACACAAAATTCCAGGACCGAAGGAGCCTGCGGGGTCGATTTTTGTGAGCATTCGCATATCATCTGCAAGATATAACAGCGAATATAGCTCAGAAGGTATTTTAAATTCATTTTGAAGTTTGCGTGAGCGACCAACTCCATAGCGCTATAGACACCATCGGAGGGGACCATGCGGTGACCCCCTACATCCTTCACGTCACCAAGCTACAGGTCAACAAAACAAGTTATGATGACATCATAGCCGCCATTTTTTGTTTTTTTTTTTGCTGCGTTAGTTCCCGCAGTCTATATTTCTCGGCAGCTGGTTGCGGGTGCGTGGCCGCGGCACACGCTTAGAAAGTTGTGTCTGGCGACATTCCAGTCCCGTTTCCTTTTCGAAAGTAATTCTTTATGCAAACCGTGCGAAAGTGCATCACAGTTCTGTGTGCTGACATGGTCAAGAGCTGCATACGCTAGGTGGCAACAGTTACACCATGTTTTTGGAACTCTCTCAAACTGTAACTCAAACTGATTGATAATGAGGGGCCTGTAATTAATCATATGTCGCGTGCTGCAGTAAACGATGCATCATGTCCATGACTAACAGGCCGCCAGCAACGCATTGGAGCAGAAAAACGCGAGGCCAAGTTTTTGTGTCAGTACCCCTTTAAAATTGATTTTATACATGTTCTAGGCTATATTATCCATTAATATTTTGTAGATGATGCACGTGTGTCCACACAAGTCTATCCCACAAGTTATCTTGCTTTCAAAATTTTGTGCCAATAATTCTTTGAAGGACCACTGAAAAACCCCACTGTACAAAATCTGTGAAGAGAAAATTGCCCTCTTGTAGGATATGAACATGCTGCCTCCATAATTTTGTGAATAAGTGCTGTAATAATGACGTTAGAGGGGATATCACAATAATTTCACCTGGTTTTGGTTTTTTAATAGGCCTTGCTACCCTTCTACTCCGCGTAGTGGGGTAAGTGCAGACAGTCATGCCCACTTGTTCAATGTAACACTACGCAAGTGATCCCGTCTTTTTGGTGCAGCCCACAACTGAGAAAGGCTTTCTTTCTCCACATGCAGCTCTTGTCAGAGCTCCATGGCGAGGAAGCACAGTCCACTGGCGAGGTAAACAAACGTGTGACAACTGCGTGGCACCACCGCAGGGCCAAGGCACCATTTCTGTAGAGCAGAGGACCCCATGAGGAAGCCAGCGCTACCCAACATTGCCCATGGGCAAGGTTCAATCACTTACAGGCAAAGATGAACAGGAGCTAGAAAAGAGTATGTGAATCGTTTCTAAACATGTAGCATCTGCAAGTTTGCAGCATTGCAATATTTGTGAAACTGTGATTTCCCCAGTTTTCCAAATGAATAAGCAAACTTTTTTATAAGGTTAAAAAAAAGTCGAAGCCAATTTACTGGCTCTTTAACACCACGCTAATGTGACACTAACCGAATGTTGGTTCTTGCAACAGTTGAGTATGGCTCTGCCTTGCGGAACCCCACACGAAATCTGATATTGCCAAAACAGACTATTCCGAGGAAAGCTGCGCGTTTAATGCATGGTCTCTATGATAGACATTTTTCACTTAGTTTGCACATTCACATTGAAATTTTTAAGTGCCCTCATGCCTGTGAATAACATTGCACAATTTCCCTTACATAGGAGCTGCGTTACATCAGCTAGACCTCCATCCACCAGACACCCATAATGAGTTATGTCTCCTTTTCAACACTACACTGATGCGTTTTAAAATTGTATTTTTTAAAGGTGCTACAGAGCTGTGGAATGCTTAACCCAGTCATGTTTAGCTTTCGTCACTTGCTGAATTTTTCTTACACATAGCTAAAAACTGAAATTCACTACATCTGGTTTTGTTCCGCCACCTCTGCATCGTTTTCTCAAGACTCCTGCGGCAACTCTTTAAGGCTGCAGTACGGCGAAGTAAAGAAACCAAAAATGAATCAAAAACAGTTTTTTTTTCATTTCTAGAGAGAATATTTCTCCGTTACATTTAAGTAGAGAAAGAAATGAGAGGAAGAGAACGTGGCTGACAACAAAACAGGAGTAAAACCTTAGGTGGACTTCAGTAGTACTTTACATCTGAGAGATCAGTAAAAAAAATTTGCCAGAAAATGCGAGCTAGCCCCTCACTTTTAAAAACGAATAGAGGAATGCTGCAACACATCCTTATTCTAATAGCGTTCAGCTATGTTAATGAGCCAAACTCCTTCTCTGGAAGTGCATAAAAGTGCATGTATGGTGCATACGTGCATGTATGTATGTATGTATGTGTGTGTATGTATGTGTGTATGTATGTATGTACGTATGTATGCATGCAGGAGCAAGAGATGAAGCAAATCAGGCAAGCTGACTATTTCGCAACCCCTCCTTTCTGCTATACATATGAAAGTGCGAGTCCTTTACAAAGTTTACAAAGCCTGTGTCACAAACTACAGTGTGTCCTGCAAGGGCTCAATTGGGCCATCATTTTTTCATATGAGCCAATAAGCCATTGTTGACTTGCTTTCACATAATGTATAAGTATTAGGAGTATAGAAGTGGGAACAGGTACTCTGAATCAATGACGCGAACAAAGAGAAGCAACCACTTACACTGTTGCCCCGGATGTCAATGTTGGGGAAGCGCCGCACAACATGCTTGATGGCCGATTCGAGGTTTTTGTCGGAGAGGAACGACGGCTTCGACTTGGCATCACCACAGGCCTGTTCTCGAAAGGTACCATGTCAGTGCATATCTTGTATCACGCTACAGATAAGCTTATGCTTCAATATTCCAAACATTTTCGCAGCAAAATCCATCATTGCTCTTATGACAAGACAAAATGCTTCTAATTTTTACACAGACATTGAAAGCATTGGGCACTTTCATGAGGTAACACCGTCGATTTGCAAATAACACTCCCTTGAAAAAGGGTGTACACCTTTCTAAGAGGTATTCAGTAAACAAAAAAAAAATCAAATAACTCTTCAATAAAGGTGTTGTTTAGCGCCAAGCAGCATGGCACAGGTAAAACGAAGCTTTCGGTATTTTGATAGCGCATTGCGGTACTGGCGATCTCCCGAAAGGTTCACAAAAATGTCTGCCTGTTTGTTCACAAAAGCAGTGTTCTAAGTTATCAAGCTCTCTTAAAGTCGTTTTTCTCTTTATTTTTATTTACTGCGTCCTAAATGAAAGACGAGATAGCTCACGAAAGTTCACGGCGATTTGCACAAACGATCTTACTTCCCATAAGTTCATTCTACATCGTTCAACTGAAACCCTTAATACTACTTTCGTTTGTTGCTCCGCAAGCGAGGATTCTCATAACCCGAGCTTCGCCTGGCTGAGATCGCTAGCGAACACCTCCCAAAGTGTCGGAAGTACCTCAACTCGCGAGAAGCGGCCAACGCCAATCTTCCGCTATGCGTAATCTAGCGCCAGTAAACTACACGTGAACAAACTCATAAAGGGAACAAAACCAAACAGACAACGTCCCTCTTTCGTGCAGGAGTGCGCGATCGCATCGTGCGAAACCAGCACTTGGAAGGTTTCTGCGACAGCTAACGCTTGTAAACAATCGGTCGCCGACTGCTTGACATCTGCGGAAGTGAACGCCCTTTATCGGCAACAGCAGTTGCATTTGGAAAGATTCTGACATGCCGCCGTGACACACCCTGTCCACGGAGTAAACGACTATCCGTCATCCGGGGTGCACGCGCGGACGAGGAACGAGAACGGAGTGTTTAGTTACCTTTTTGATGTTGTATATCCGCGTGAGCATTCCGACGCCTCGGTCGTTGAGGATGGTCAGTTTCTCGGCGATCCGCTGAGTGGTGACTTGAAGTGATCGGGCCATGTCGAACGCTCAGTCAGTCCTCCGCTTCACACCACAACCCGCAGGGAACGGCCCGAGGCACGCGCGCCGCACATAAACACACGCACACACCGCACCACAGGGAACGGAAGAAACGAAATGAACTTTCACACGGTGGTACAACTCACTTGACAAACATGACGCGTCAGAGGCGTCCGCTTTGCTCGAGCAAAGCGGCACTAGCGCACGCAAGAACGTCCCACGGCACGCACAACAAGCGCGGCTTATGAGGATTAGCAATGCCGGAAGCGAGGCTACACTACGTTATTCGCTTCACAGATGTTTCTCCGCAGCGTTGGAGCATAGCCTCTGAGATTGCGCCGCACGCTCGCCATCTTGAAGGCCACAATCTGAGCTTGTTATTTTTTACGCCACTGTGTTGCAGCGCTGCTAGCCCCATATTTTGTTGTCATTTTTAAATGTTACAAAAACAAAAACCTAAAACTTAATTTGTACTTTTGTTATTGTAACCTATTAAGTCATATTGGTTTTTTAAAAATAAATAACACATGTTTTTTAGAACAGTTTGAAAAGTTGTTTGTGAAAAAAAGAACAATACTTTTTCTTCTAAAGTGTTGTTGCGCTATTACTTTTTTAATTTGTAGTAAAACGACTTAAGCAATAAATTTTTAAAAGTTTAAAACTTTTCTTTTATTTGTGTTTTTAATCTCTGAGGACAGCTACCTTTGTCGTACATGCTGTCGTAGTTTGGTCACTGAGGCATAGTTAAATGACCACAAGTATCCTTGTGAAACAAAAACGTGAAATTATTTTTCGGTAAAAGGACACTGTTCAGCCTTGTGGTTAAGTACTTGGTGGCACTTAAAGTGGACGACAGCAACTCGCAGCATGTGCTATGTTATCTGGAAGGCGCCAGCAGAGGCCGGTAGCGGCATCCATCACATCGTGACGCATTCGGCCCGTGTGTGTGACAAGCGTGCACGCGCTGCACGCAGGTGCTGTGGCCTTGTGCGAGTTCTATAGTCGCACCTTTTCAGCGTACCGCCTGTGTTACGCCGTCGTTTGTCACCTATGCGCATAAATTCTCTCGACGCGGCGCTAGCCAAAGCGCCACGAATACCACCCGCATCTCTTGTGAAAGCCATGGATGCAGTGCCTCCTCGGTGGTGATACAGCCGTGTTTTGTTTCGTACCGAGCTAGTGAGGAACCATGGACGATCCGCTTGTAACCAGGATCAGCCCTCGGGCCAAGGTGCTTTCCGCTCTCTTCTACGGCGTCGTCTCGTTCCTCATCATTATTATCAACAAAGTCGTGCTCACTACCTACGGGTGAGTTCGTAGCCATGCTCCATGCAACCTCTTAGGCGAGCGCTTTCGCTTTCACCTTCTATCATGCACGTTTCCCGTTCATCTTCTTCACCTGTCTCAGGTGTCAGATGAAGTGCCTTTTTAATATACCTTTCTGTTTCGTCTCCTCCCGACAGGTTTCCTTCGCCGCATTTCTTGGGGGTGGGTCAGGTATGTCCTTTGCATGCCCGTTTACCTTTGCCACTGGTCTGAAGTAGTACCGATCTATGTTGAAGCAATACAACATCAAGTATGCCCGTTACTGTTATGATAGTCGATTCAGTGCGTCAACTTGCCGAATGAATGTCAGCGCACTTGCGCTCCGATTCCTCATGTAATGAAATCAAGAAATATATCATTCACGGCGTATTTTACATATCTCGACCCGTTTTTTTTTGTGTGTGTTTGTGTAGTGCGAAGAGCGCTCTAATTAGGAATGACTGCTCTATAGGTGACCCTTTTTTACAAAAAAATAAAATAATATGCTATTTTGAACTGTATCTCTGGGAAAAACTACGAACTGAGGACGTAGTGAACAGCGCTCATGCGATTGAGTTTTGTTGTTAGTTTGCTGACTGCCACTTCGGTGCTGTAGATGTCGTCTAACACGAAATAGTTACCGCCAAGATAGTCGTGTGCACAGCTACATTAGGATCGTGTCCGAATTTCTAGCTTGCTTTGAATTGTTGGTTGGCGCGCGCGTTTTTTTAATGCACGTGGCAAATGCGAAACCACCCCAATAAATTTTGGCGCCTACGTTGATAGAGTACGTTCTCGCCTCAGTTTGTTTTAAGTTTGCTTCGCATTCGGTTGCATTGCAATGCACACTTACTGTCGTGTCAAGCGTTTCATCTTTAAACGTAGTCGATGCAGTTTGCTCGGGGAGAGTTCCGAGAACGCGCAGACAGGTTTCGTATTACTTCACCGAATCGCACTTATAGAGAAGAAAAAAATTGAAGCAATGACCGACGACTGGGGGGTTTTCCCGTCTTGTCGCGGTAGTTCAACGACGGGCCTGTCTATAATTAGTTTCGGTGGTTGGACCGCGCGCCCTGGAATCTTGATCGGTCTGCGAAGCTACAAGCCGATTATGAGACACACACGTACATTGAATTACGTGCGGCGCCGTCCGAAAGTAAAATGCGCGGCATGCACCTATTATTGGTGCCATCGCATTACATATTGATGTTTCGCTTTTTCGCATTCGCACTGTCACTACTCGTCACTTTGGGCTCTTATAAGTTACCGAAAGAGAGAGAGAGAGAAATACTTCTTCGAGTGATTTGCTGTAGCGGGATTTCGCTATAGTGTGCATATAGGCCGTATTGTCATGCTCTTGAACAAAACTGAATAATTTGGGAGCATTCCAGTTTCAATTCGTTGGCTGGACAAGTGACTATGCAAAAAAAAAATAAAAAAAAAATGCAAAACTTTCTCGTGCTTTGGGAAGAAACAATAGTACGGCACCACACACTCTAGCGGCTTTTCGGCGGCAACCGCCGCCGGAAACTGCGTCTGGGATTCGGAGATAAACGCAGTAATTGGGTGGGAAGTGTGAAAGTTTTACGACGCTGATAACGGGCCTTACAGCCACCTCACTGAGGGCTCGGTGGTGCAATTCTGGGTGCCATAGCGGGAGGTGAAAGGAAAGAGCAGAATGTTTTTGACCCTATTTTGCTTCGCTTAGATGGGATATCATTTTCTCATTACCTAACCTCTGGTGATTTGTATGGGAACAGAATAGAGTGACAGTTTTGCTTTGCATATTGCATGCATGTTAGAGGATCCTAGCTAGGTTGTCAACTTCACCTGGTGTTTCCCACCATGATTCGGCTCATAATCGTATCATGGTTGTGGGGCATGATCTTGGGACTGTAATCATTCTGCTGTAGCCTTGATCACCGATATTGTAATGACTATGCTGTTAGCTGTTGCTGACTATAAATAAACGTGTGACTGAACATTCTCGTCTCCATTCCAGATGGTTATTACCATTATCCTGATATGGGCATTAAGGCAAGCAGGGTTTATAGACTTTCCAAATATATCGATGGCCACGTGTGCCAAGGTGAGACACAAGCAAGACGCATGATGTGTTGGCATGTTTTTTCATGAACTTGAAAACATAAACATGTTTTATTTTTATTAATGAATGCTTACCTGAAGCAAGTATTTATTTTCCTTTACAGATACTGCCGCTTCCCATATTCTTTGGAGCCAATCTAGTGTGTGGCTTGGGAGGCACACAAAAAATTAGGTACGCCATCACTCTATGTCTTATGTTCACTGGGTAACACCGTTAAAAAAATTTGTGAAGTGTTCCACAGAGACAACATCCATATATTCTGTTTTACCTGCACTAGCTCAGTTTTCGAAGCGAGCACATGCCCTGAGTTTCAGGACATGTGCATGTCACAGATCTCTCTGTGGTGGTTGGGTGACCCGCCGTAATTGAATGGAAAATACGCACACAAAATAACTCGTATTTCATGAATGAAACGTGACGTCGAAAATGACTCATGGTTTCAGATACTACCGAACCACTGACACATTCTGGACGTAATTGTATTTACCTGCCGCAAAGTGCCTACTTTCCTATGCTATTTGAATGTTTTAGCCCGCAGTTTATGAGAGCTGCCTCAATGTAGACCCATTTTGTCCCATTCAACAAATTGCAAGATTCGGAGAAGAGGTTTCAAAAACGACTGCCGGTTTTAGACTCGCTGAGGGGCGCACTTTCTGTTAATATGCTACTTTGTTTCTGTAGCTAAAGCCGCGCAACTCACTCGGTTATTATTCTCGACTGCAACGCTAACATCTGCTGCTACATTATACAGAGTTGTGGCAGAACAGTTTGTGGTGCGGGCCAAGTTTTTGAATGCCATACTCGGATGTGTGTGTACGGCAGAGCGGGACGAAGAGAGTGCTTCAATGCCTCAATAAGTCTGCCTGGCCACTGGTGCAGGCAGTGCCTGCACAATTGTGAGCACAAACACCTCGATGCCCCCGACTACACCAGAGCTCAGCAGCCAATACTATGTTGGCGAGGTCAGTTTCTAAGTGTGGCTCGTAGGTGGGTTCTTGCATATTTTTAGCTAATATACCACCCTGGTTTGACGATGAAGTGATAATGCTAGAACTTCTTAACTATAACATGCGAAGATGCAGTTCTTTAGCTTGATCTGCGGTCCCCATTGTGTATATTAGTTAGATGTAGCCTCCCGCAATGACGTGCTGGTAAAGCATGCTCATACTTCCTTTAAAACTAGCGTAATTATAGTCTAGCAACTAGGTAGACGAATACTTGATCACCAATGGCTTCCAGCACACCGTCAACATAGATCAATAGTGGTAAATGATCGGGAAATCTTTACTTCGCATTCTGAAGACAAGCATATTAAGCAATAGTAGCACATCAGAAGTAACAGTAATCTGTGCTTGTGCTCTTCAGTGCCTTTTTAAATGGAAAGAAGCTTTCACTTTTGAGCTTCGTATCTTCACTTCGGAAGGGCTAAAGTGTGCTATATTTCACAGTCAAGTAGTTCAAATATATACCAATGAGCTAAATTTCAAGGGGGACACACGGTGTGTGTCCCCCCAACTTGAACAAAAGGGGGTCGGACCCTCTGTACCCCCCTCCCCCCATGATTAACGACACTGCAGCACACGACTTCACGACTTGGCTGAGCTGTTCACCGCAGCATCTATCCTTCATTGTATGTGCTTGTATGATTGAAGTCGCTGAGGAAAAAAAAACAAAAGCCAACGAACACTACTTTGATCACAGTGCAACTGAGATTACCTTGGGGAAAAGTTTCTGACAAAGAAAAGTGTGTGGGTCGCAGTACGCAAGCTTGAAGTTTCTCAAGGAGCATAAAAAAGTGATCTTTTTATTGAGCAGTGTCATGCCATATGTTTGAACATTGTGGAAGGCTTATTTACAACCCAGTGGGCATATTGTAAATGAATCCATTCGAATGTTTCATTTGGCTCCAAGTTTATCTATGTTATGGTAGGACATACATTGTCTTCAGAACAAACGCGGCATAATACTTATTTTTCTTGTCAAACTAAGCATCTACAATTTCTCTCTGCAGCTTGCCAATGTTCACAGCATTACGTAGGTTTTCCATTCTCATGACTATGATCGGGGAATACCTGGTGCTGAGGTGAGTTCAAGTTTTTCTGAATATGAACCTTGTTTTAAAATTCTCATTGCACTAGCCTCTAACTTGATTTTTTTTTTAATTTCTATATTCTATTCTTGGAACTGTTTGACATGAGTGCCTTGTTCATATACCATGCATTGTGCTCTATGTTGATTAGATAGCTGGAACTTGCAAAGTGAATGCATACTGCTACAGGGTTCCATAGCTCCATGCTATACGAAACTAGCCAAGTTTATATTTGCTTTAATCACTCGAAGGGCCAGAGTGGGGGGCTAGTTGGTTGTACATAGTTGACACTTACGACGCGCTGTTTGAACACAAAGAAAGACACGAGAAAAGCACAGGGAGAACACAACACGAGCGCCGCTTGCATTGAGATTCATTCCTTCTTAAGCTTGTCATGGCTGTAGTGGTAATAATCAAGAATTCTTTAACATGATTCTGCAAAACTTGGTCAACGTTCGCGGTTGTAGACAGCGCCATCACATTGAAAGTGATATTAAACAGGATTTCAGCAAAAGCACATATGACAGATATGTGCTGTGAGAGAAAAGTGAATCTAATCGTAGAAGCACCAAATCTTAAACTGTCACCGTACACATGGTGAGAAGAACAAGATACCTTATTAAAATGCATTGCTAGGCTAGTTTATAACTTTCAGAAATTGATAGCACATGGATAACTCTGAAGTGCTGGTCCTGTGCTTCTGTGCACCTACTTTGTCTTGTTTCATTTAGAGCTATCTATTTACAGAACAAAGAACATTTCTGGTAAGGTTATATTTGTCAGATGCCTTATTTACTCAAAATAAATTAAAATACGCTGCTGCCTTGTAACTTTCTTGGGCATAACAGGGAATCCCTGTGTAAGCAATCGTGCTCACCAACGCAGGGCTGTGAAGTAGCATTTGATTCTTCATCTCTCTTTTCCCAGGAAAAGGCCTCAGACAGGTGTTGTGATCTCTGTGTTTGCCATGGTGGGAGGTGCAATGATAGCCGCGTGGTAAGTACTTTCCATGTGGTCCTTCGCATATTATTTCGCTACTGCGAATTACGAGTAGTGAGGTTAAAGAATTCGTAAGTAATGTAAGCAGGACAGAACATGGTGGAGAGTGTCTTTTCTCAGCAGTGAAGTGATTTGAAGAAATGAAAAAGGCACTAGGTGATAATGAGCGCAGAGTACAAAATGGTAACGCTGTGTTAACGACATTGCTACACTAGGAGCATTGTTATTCAATGCAAACATGCGAAAAAGATAAGTCGGAAATGTTGTAGGCTCAATAACTTTAGAATTATAGGGCCGTGCTCTGCCCGTTGCGCAGCGTGACCTCCCTTATGCGCATGTGCGTCAGCTCTGCCTCTCTCTCTTTTCTCTCCTATGCTTCCTCTCACCTCGTATCACCTACACAGTGAGTGTGCGCTAACCTACGCTCACTCTTCCATCTCTCCTTTCAGCATTCCTCCCCTCATCCCCACAGGGTTTACGCCTCCATTAGACATGCGCCTCCCCTCTCGCCCCTCTTAAGCCAGCGTCTTAAGCCAGTGTCTGCTAGCGAGTTTTTTTTATTTAAAAAACGGACTGCTCACGTTGCATGACCATTCACTGGGTACACCGTACACATAGGTACTCCATTTGCACCTCCAAGGTAGTGCTGGTGGGAGACTTCTCTTGCGCATTGTTGAACTACAAAAATTCGCAATGTGTGCATCAAGTAAAAGCGGACTGCTGGTCTCTGTGTCCAATCGGACTCTTTTGTCTCTTGGTGCACAATAGCAGCGATCGGCATGTTCCAGTAGGAAACTCTGGTCTATCACTGCGTGCTTTGCGCCACCCCAGGTTTCTCTCCTGCGAATGCAGCAATAAGCGCCAGCGTTAACGTGGCCGGCACCCGCTTTGCATTCGCTTTTGTTCGCACCTGCTGCTTCGCATGTACACGTGGTTCCCTTTAGCGGTAGACGGTGTAATTTTTTTAAATGCACTATGTAGCCACATGTTGCGAACTTGCATAGCTGTGACTACGGTGATGATCCTTGGAAATGTGATGGGCTATTCCTGCAAAAAGAGAAAGCTTCATTTCTGCCTTCATGTGTACTAAATTTTGAAATTTTTTTAAATAAAGCTTACATATTTGGGCTGTTCCTACAATTTTATAGATGTTTTGTCATGTGCTACAAAAAAGTTATTCTGTTCCAAGAGAAACTTTTGATGGTATTTTAAGGTAGCGAAGTGTAAAAAAAAAAAACCTTCAAGAGAAGAATTAAAACTGTGCCAGTGCTGTACCTTTGCATGTATTATCACAAGATTCCTAAACATACTGCATGACGTACCTACTTCAAGCAGGCTCTAGTTGTACCTCTTGGGGTGTTTTTTGGTTGTACAATAATAATCACCGTTTGTGAGGTTTCCATTTTTCTGCTTTTATGCTGCGCCTCCAGGGCCTTCAAGTGACAAAAATTACACGTGCTATCATGCGACGTAGCATTATTGATTGGAAAGAAGTGTGCGTTGTTTAAGAAGGAAAGGGACAGCACGCAAAATGATTGTTGCAGAGTGATGAATGTGTGCTTTGAAAAGCACAGCTGTTCTGCAAGCATAAGTTCATCCAGATAAGTGTCTTGAAATAGACATCACAGCTTCGCTGCTGGTCTGTATCGATCTGCTGCACATTAGCACGGATGGCCGCCATTTCAAAAAGAAGAGCTCAGTTTGCTGGGTCGTCCAGGGACTGTCCTAATTGAGCTCGGGCCATCTCCCTTTCAGCAAAGACCTGTCCTTCGATGTTGGCGGCTACACGCTAGTCCTGCTCAATGATTTCTTCACTGCGGCCAACATCATATGCGTTCGCAAGGTTGTCGACGCCAAGGTATGCGCACCAGACGCTCTGACATTGAAAGACACAACGCCGTGAAAGCACTTCAGTGCACACAGTCTGACACGGCTTTTGCTGTTCAAATGCATTCTTCTGGAAGTTTTGTGCCTCAAAGCTTATAAGACGTTTACTGACTCGGTCAATTTAGTTTAGGGTTTGTGAACGAAATCGTCAAAACTACGCTTCTGCATAGAAATACGGTGTAATGAACCTTTACGAGCGGCTGTCGGTGGTTTATAAATTTCGATCAGATGTGGCACTTGATTAAACACTGATGCTGACCCACTCCTATACTTCGTACTTCATTTTCTGTGTTGCATGAGTTTTTATATAGGTTGGGACTCTGTAACGCTAAGTCTTCTTCGTAGACCACCTGATATTTGCCTTTTAGTATGATTCTTTAAAGCTTCCTCGGATTTAGTGGCAACAAATGTTTCTCCATGAGCAGCATTTGATATGCTTTCTGTTTTTTTGTTCCCAATGATAGGACCTCACAAATTACGAACTGCTCTTCTACAATGCCTTGCTCATGGTGGCACCCCTGGCTTTTCTGTCGTGGGCCATTGGTGACCTGACAATGGTGAGCCCATTTGCATGTTACCGTGTCCTTGTAAATGTCGCCGAAACTGGGTACATTCAATCTCATGCAGGGCACAAGAATATTGTCATAATGCTGAACTTCAGCTGACTTAGAAGCGAGGTAGTAGCTATAAAGAATAGTACTACAATAAAGGTCTCTTAACTAAAGTGTATTGAAGCAAGAAATTCATCAGCAAAACTCGTACACTAAAAATACTGTGAAGCTGAAAAATGACATCACAGGTGAAAAAAAAAAAGGCAGTGCCAGAAATGGCAAAGAAAAAGCAGATAACATGAAAGACTAATTACTTATTGTTAGTTAAAATGGTCTCGAAAAAGTAGTTGCTTCCAATTTCTAAAGAGAGTGCTGGAAATCTGATGTTCCGCAGCAACTAATTGCGACCTTGCGTCAGTGTATCGTGATGCATGCTTGGGAGCAAAGATGTATTCATATAGTGAATATTGTTGAAATGTGCAGTGAAAAGGGCATTAACTAAAGGTCTCTTAGACAGATGCCAGTGTTGGTTATTGAGACCTCATTTAATATAGGGAAATCTATATTGCAAGCGGCTGGGTTAAATGCACCCTCATACCTCATTTTAACAAAGTGGCAGCTTGCACCAAAATAAGTTCATTACCGTATTTACTCGCATAATCCTCGCACTCGCGTAATCCTCGCACCCCCAACATCGGCCAACAAAAATTCGATTTTTTTTCCTCGTGTAATTATCGCACCCCAAAAATCGCAGCAGCAGATGTCGTCCGCTGCTTTGAGCCAATGATGAAAATAGCACCCATTAGCCTAGCGCCATCTCTTATGCATCATGCATGCTGATGAAACCCATTGCAACCGGGTAAATTCCACGAAGACTCTCCTGCTACGCTGGGACAAGCTTAACAAAGGGGCCGAGAAAACACATCGGCCAGGAAAACGCCCCACACACCCTCCTCTTCTCTGAGAAATCAGGCGCGCATGATTGCCCGGAAGGAAGGCATCCCGGCGCAAGATTTCTGCGCGAGCAACGGGTGGGCCACACGGTTCATGCGCCGAAGTGGACTCTCGCTCAGGAAACTGACGACTCTGGGTCAACGGCTACCTTCGGCGTACGATGATAAGGTCATCGAGTTTCATCGATTTGTGATTAGGATTCGGGAGCAAAAGAACTTCCTGCTCTCACAAATTGGAAATGCGGATCAAACTCCGCTCAACTTCGACATGCCGCCAAGCACAACGGTGGAGGAGAAGGGTGTGCGGAGTGTGCGTATTAGAACGACGGGCGCCGAGAAGCAGAGGTGCACCATCATGCTCACCGTAACAGGGGACGGGCAGAAGATGCCCCCATTTATTATTTTTAGCGGAAGACCCTCCCGAAGGCCAAGTTTCCCCCTGGAATACACGTGCGTGTACAAGAGAAAGGATGGATGACCGCCGACCTTATAGTCGACTGGATAAAAACTGTTTGGGGACGACGCGCTGGAGCACTTCTTTACCCGTCGCTGCTGGTTGTCGACAGCTTCCGCGGTCACCTGGTCGACTCTGTTCGGGCGAAGCTGAAAGAGCTGCGGACTGACCTCGCTGTTATTCCAGGCGGTCTGACTTCGAAGTTGCAGCCTCTTGATGTATCCTTGAACAAGCCGTTCAAGGATAATGTTCGGAGGCTGTATTCGGAATAGATGGCCGAAGGCGACCACGCAATGACTCCCGGGGGCAAGATAAAGAAGTCGTCGGTGGAGATCCTTTGTTCTTGGGTAATCGAGGCATGGTCCATGATTTCGCCAGAAATTATCGTCCGCAGGTTCAAAAAGACTGGGATCTCCAACGCCTTGGACGGGACGGAAGACGACGTGGTCCACGAAAACGACGAGGGAGACCACGCTGAAGCTGGTGATAAGTCCGATGACGCTGCTATGAGCAACGAAGATGGCAGTCTTGACTCGGGCCCTGAGTAGTTCGCTGAAGAGACTTATTAGCTAGTGACTTTAGTCTGTGCAAATAAACCTTGATTTGGGTTGAACATGTAGTTTCATTGTAAAGGTAAGCCTTGTATCAGCACTTTTTGAAGCTTTTAGTTGCTTGTGAAAAAACTGCAATTCGTGGCCGTTTTCTATTTTTTTTCTTGCGCTGTACCTTTCTGCGGGAAATTTTCCCCGCGTAATTATCGCACCCCCAACTTTCCATGGGTTTTTTGGGAAAAAAAGTGCGAGGATTATGCGAGTAAATACGGTATATGAAAAAAATTATTACATAAGTGTATTTCCAACACCATATCTATTGCAAGAGTATTCTTCATTTACTTTGTTATAACTGATATTTCGTTATATACAGGTTCATTATATCAAGGTTTGAGTGTACATGTGCTAGTGGTCGGGCGACTTTTGAATTCTATTTCAGTGCGACAATGACAGTGCCTTTCTTTCATCTTCTGTTCGGTTCACAATAATAAAAAAAAAAGGCGCTGGAGTACCCGCAATGGCTGGAGCCTGGATTTCTGGGTGCCTTTCTTTGTTCCTGTCTGATGGGCTTTATGATAATGTACGCCACAGTGCTGTGCACTGCGTATAACTCTGCTCTCACCACTACCATCATCGGCTGCCTAAAGGTACGTGCATTGCTTCAAAATGACTAACACTCCGTCCTTCTAAGCATCGGTTCTAAGTGACAAGCATCGCTTCTAGTCTCTGAATGACAAGCACTCCGTCCACATGCTTTGGAGAGCAGTGTGCCAGAATACAATCACACCTCTTAATAACAAACTCACATCTGCCATGAAAATACTTTGTAATGTCCTCAAATTCCTTATAAATGATTGTTTGCAGCGCTGTATCAATGGCAAAGCTATTGGTCACTTCATTTTAACCTATAATTTGTTATGCACTCAGACTTTGATATAATGACCAAGATATAACGAAATACCGCTTTTAATGAAGTAAATGAGAAATAATCTTGCGATGGATAGATACAAATAAACGTTTATAAGGAATATTTAGATATAGCGAACTTATTTTTGTGTAAGATGCAACGTTATAATGAGAATTGAGTGTATCTGAATTCATTATATCGATGTCTGAGTGTATAACACCAGGGCTTATAATTTGTCTGGCAGATTTGAATTACATGGCTGTTCCCAAGAAAGAGTTGGGTAGATCTGGATAGGGAAGAATTTCTACTAATTCAAGTGCTTAAAAACCTGCCCAGCATTATTTTGAACAATATTTTCCATTCATACAGTCAGTCATGCACAAAAAAAAGTCGCACAGTGTTGCCGCATGCTAACATGTCCAGCAGAACGTGATTAGTATTCGAACGCCTGCAGGAAGACGAAGCATTTGCGCAGCTTTGCAGCTTCATGCTAAGTTTGGTGCTAAGGGTGTTTTAAACAAGAATGTATGGCGCAAAAGCTGTTACTTTCACATTAGCTTGCGTTCTATGCCATTCGTTCTCAAGTTCATTTGTTCCTGCTCTTTTAATTACCAAGCTGCTGAGGGTCGGGATTCAGAACTTTGGAAGTGCTCCTCAGCGTGGTCACACTTAGGTAGTGAACGTTTCTCAATTAATTATGAGGCCATACTTGGCGTTTCTTTCCATATTTTTTGGACGACGCAGCCAGCAATGGCAAGGAAAATGGTAGGTGTAACCTTAAGAGACAAGAAGAGAGCAGAGTGGATTAGGAAACTAACCGGGGTTAAGGATATAATAGTTGAAATTGGGAAGAAGAAATGGACATGGGCCGGGCATGTAGCACGCAGACAGGATAGCCGCTGGTCAATAAGGGTAACTCAGTAGATTCCTAGAGAAGGCAAGTGGGTTAGGGGGAGACGGAAGGTTAGGTGGGCAGATGAGATAAAGAAGTTTGTGGGTGTAAATTGACAGCAGCAAGCACAGGACTGAGTTGACTGGCGGAACATGGGAGAGGCCTTTGTCCTGCAGTGGATGTAGTCTGGCTGATGGTGATGATGACTTGGTGTCTCCTTTGATATTTTTTGGCTGACTTGTATGTACATGCAGGAGGCCTGTTGACTTTTGCAGATTTCTGAGTTCACGTTTGTGCTTTTCTTATTTTTTTGTTTTTTCAGAACATAATGACCACCTATGTCGGAATGTACGTTGGTGGTGACTACATCTTCAATCTTTCCAACTTTGTGGGCCTTAATATTAGGTAAGAGAGCATCACTGTCTAGAGAAGAGCAGAGCATATTGCTTAGCATCTTTGAAGTTACTGAAGAGTAAGGTTTGTTTTTGTGTGCTCTTGAAAACGCCTGTTTTGTAGTTCGTTTATCGTGACTTATAAGTCCACAGTTAACTGTTCCCAGGCTCTTGTGAGGGCAGTAGACATTGCGTACTATGTTTTTTTTTTTCTACATTGGGTGCAGAATTGCTTATCTGCAGGTCACAGGATGGAATTGCCGCTTTGGCGGCCATATTTTCATTGGTGGTGGAAATCCTTGAGGCCCAAGTGCTTATACCGTATTTACTCACATAATCGGCACACTCGCATAATAGGCGCACCCCTAGTTTGGTCGCGGAAAATTCGATTTTTTTTAATTCCGTGCATAATAGGCGCACCCCGAACTTGGCCGTGATCAGAAACGATTCTGCCCCCCAGCGGTACAGTTGGAACGCGGTCCTCGTACCCTGAAGAAAAAAAGAAGGCAAATCGACGAGCAAATAAAAAAAATTCGAAGTGCAACGACCTAATCAACGTGTTTGTCGAAATAAAACTTGAAAAAAAAAAAAAAGCATCCATGAGCGAAAAAAAAAAAAAAAAACGGCTGTTCCATCAATTACTGATACCCCCCAAATCGCCGCGCTTTTTGGAGGTCACATCGGGCGGCCTCACATCGATACTGCTGCCTTTGGACGTGTCCTTGAATAAACCTTTCAAGGACAATGTTCGAAGGCTGTACACCACCTGGATGGCTGGAGGACAACATCAGCTGACTACAGGTGGTAAGATTAAGAGGCCGCCTGTGGAAATGCTGTGCGCTTGGATCGTGGAAGCGTGGCAGGCGATCTCCGACGAAGTCATCAGGAAAAGCTTTAAGAAGACGGGTATCTCGAACGCACTAGATGCGAGTGAGGATGACATGTTCACCGAAAACGAATCCCCGCTCGGCGAGGATGAATGTGTGATCTCCGACTCGGACTCCGAATAGGGAAAAGGAGGAACAGCTATGACTTTTGTGTAAATAAATTTTACGTGTGTGTGTGCAGTTGACGGCTCTCGCTTGTTCATTAAAAGGTACGTAGGTATGTGTGTGTGTGCAGTTGACGGCTCTCGCTTGTTCATTAAAAGGTACGTAGGTATGTTTGTTTTATGCTGAATTGGTAAACGATAAAGTCGCCTTTTACTTGACAAGTGTGCAGATTTAAAGCGCGAGAACAGAGTTGAAAAATTTTTTGAAAATTTTACCCCGCGTAATTGGCGCACCCCTAACTTCGAGCCGGATTTTCTGAAAAAAAGTGTGCCTATTATGCGAGTAAATACGGTATATAGATGCACGTTAAAAAAAAATCCCAGGTGGTCGGGGATTTCTGGAAAGCTTCACTATGGCGTCTCTCATTATCATATCGTGGTTTTACAGTGAAAGCTGTTATGAGATCACTACTTAGGTCATTCACAATGCCGCAGTTGTCCGCATTTGCCGCCGGTGTCCGTAACCACTTCGCACGAAATAAGAAGAAAATACAAACCTAGTACCAAGGACACAGTGGAGCTCGAACCTAGGTACATTGCGTGCCAGGCCAGTATTCTACCACTGAGCCACATTGCTGCTTGGAACTTGTTTGCATACCTGCCTTAGACAGGCTTGATGTTGGGGAAGGAATGGTATTAATATGAGTAATAAAGAGTTTTAGGACAGCAAAAGAACAAGCAGGTGTCACACAATGCGAATAGTGTAACGAATGGGCCGTCCAGTGCTCCAACCCATTACAAAAGCTTGTTCTTGATCACCTAATAACTTCGGCGCATATCCTTTTCAGGCATAATTTCTCATCATTGTCAGCCACTGCATGAACAACTAGCACAAAATTCTTGCAAGTGTTTAGCGGGTACCACACATCCCAGAAGAATGACGAAAGATAGCATAGCAAATGCCGACCTACTACCCAGAAATCATTTTTAATATTGTCGTAGTAGGTACCCAGCAAGCATGCTTGAAGCAGTTACCCAAGGAGTGTTTAGAAAAGGCTCTGAAAGGCTGCTTTTCTAGCTTTTACTGTGACTGTGCTGCGCCTTTTGCTCAGGCCTGGCGTTTTCTTTGGATGTTAAGCCGCAACAATTATTAGTTTTTCTACACTGAAAAGCCTGGAGCATTATTTAGTACTTGCGTATCTATACTTTGGGAAAAATAGTCGCTCAAATAGAAGTTGTATTTCGTGAGAGTTAAGCAGTACAATTGTCCTCTGATTGGATAGCATTTATGATTACATTCAGACTGATCACAGTATCTGAAAGCCCTCATTAGTGAAACGTAAGTTCACTGTGATCTATGCTGGCTGAACGTTATAACGTTGAAGGTATCGCATATCATTGCGCATTTGCTTTATATTTTGTCTGTTTCTCTTTTTCTTCTCTGTTTAGCGTTGGCGGAAGCCTGCTGTATTCTTATCTCACCTTCATTCAGAAGCAGAGCAACCAACAGATGCCAACAACACAGTCAAAGTGAGACCCTTTCGTAATAGAGTTCTTTTGTGTAGTGTCTGCTTTACTAAGCAGCTTATTTCTGTCTGCTAGATTCCTTGCATTTCTTTCGAAAGCATGCCTCAAAGCTTGCATGTGCCAATCACATTAGATGCATTGTAGCTTGTTAGGTGTCCTTTCATGCAGTGCACTCTTTTCAAAATTTAAAAACGCAGCTGCTTCAGTTTAACAAGTTTAAAATTTTCTTACACCGGACTCGCTCGGTCTGAGACTTACGACATGACCTGAATCTGAGTGAGTAGACTCGTGAGTTTGCCGACCTATACTTTCCTGTAGTGCTGAAATAAAGATAATATCACCAAACAAAGATTGGTAGACCAAAAAAGTTCGAAAATAAAAAAAAAGAGGTGATGCTTTCTAAGTATTTTATGCCAGCTCATCACGCATCTGCGTAGACCTCTCAAATTTTTTAGCTAGACGGGGGCAGATTGTTTGTGTTACAATCGAATTCAGTGAGCTGTGTTCAGTGAGCTTCGAAAACTTTGAACCACAATGGGGCTATAGCTAAATATTTCTTTTGAAACCTGCGACTTCACACTAATGCACTGGAATCAGCGTTCTCGCGACTGGAAGTCCCATAACATGGGACATTGAACTTCCTTTGCACATTAGAGGGCCAAACCCCATGACGGCGAAAATGCACACGAAAGCGACGAGTGATGCGACGTAGATTGCCTTCGCACGAACAGTCGCTTGCCCAGTCAAGCCTAATGCATGTGACGGCTTCAGCGACTCAATTCCACTGTCGCTGGCGTGAGGCTGTCAACTCGCACCGAAAATTCGCTGTAGTCATTGGTATCTAACGTAAAAATAAGATGTGCTGTTGCTCGTCGCTGTTGCGTGCATTTGCGTGCTTATGGGGTTCGTCCTTAATGATAAGTCTGTGACCACCAAAATAACAAGAACATTTTTTTTTTTTTTCAAATACAGTCTACCACTCTAAACTAATGTAATGTTTCACTTTAGTGTGCCTGTTAGATATACCCATTTAAGTATGCCTTTTCCACATTTATCAAAAGAAAGAGTTTACAACCATTTGGTGCTTATCTTGCCTCTAAACGATAACTGTCTGTCTTACATGCCTCTTCTTTCTTTAAACGCTGCCTCCCAGGTAAGTTTACGTTGCCACTGCATGCACATTATTAGCTTAAGGGCATTCTTGACAAGCGATTTTTATCAGCAGTCCTGATACGAAAGTAGCAAGCTCTTGGAGAATAGAGAAATGCAACCAAGAAAGACAATCAATATTGTTGAGCCGAAAACCCTCTCAGCCTGCAAACACTCCGTCGCGTCTGCATCACAGCATTGGTGGCCATCCTGAGACAAGATTTTCTTGCTGCTCTATCTTCATAAATTGACCCATTGGCCAATATTAGCACCAAGTTTTTATGAACCCCTAGACCATTTTGTTTTCTGAGAGTTTTTTTTTTTGTCTAAGAAGTTTATTGTTTAATTTGATATTGAATATTTTTGGCTTCTAGAGAGCATGCTTTGATTGAAGAAAAAAATTGAAGCATATGTTTAGTCACAATGACTTAGGAAAATTTATTGTTCCATGGCTGATTAGTGTCTGATGGTCTGTAGTATTGTGTAATTATCAAAAAACTGGCAAACAGGTAATGTTTCATGGGATGCCCTACCGTGGCCGCCAGAAATGGTAACTGAGAAGACTTGATGGGGACGTCGTTCGTGTCAACCTCCCTGCCATGACGTGTTCTCTTCGTAGTGTCCTTTGAAAAGCCTTCCTCGTCTGATGCACTGCTGCAAATACCGGTGCGACCATCACTACGGGTTTCGCATCCAAAGTCACAGTAGACTTCGAGGTTTGAATGATTAGCGCCTGAGGAGCTGTATAATAATAAAAGGCTTCTTTCCCATGATAATGCATGAGCGATGTAGGCATTGCCTTTAGAAGATGCCATTTTCTCGACACAAGTGACTAAAGTGTGTAATGACGGTAAAAATTTTAAAAAATGCCATGTGAATGCTGCTATTAGTGAAACGGCACATGAACTGGCTTAGAAATGAGGGAGTCTTGTTCGAGATGCTCACGGGGGGGGGGGGGGGAGGCTACTGTAATTACTCGAATCTAACGTGCACCTTTTTCCCGGTTAAGCGAGTTCATAAATCGCATACGCGTTAAAATCGAGTGCGAAAAAAAAAATGAATACGGTCATTCTATTGCCATCGGCATTTACAAAATGGCCGCCCCCTACGTGCCGCCCGTGCGTCGGCATGGCGCGTCGGCCATTTCTGCCTATGTGTTTCCCATGTGCGGCACTTCGTACGTGTGCTGAGGAGTTCCTCATATTGTAGTTCATTAGCTTGATGGCATGGAAGGGTCGACTCTAGAAACTCGACGAGTGCACCACGATGCCGCTTTTAAAAGAAAAGTCATCGCATATGCCGAAACAGACTGAAATCGGGCCGCATCGCGGTCGTTCGGAGTTCCCGAAACGTGCGTGTGGGACTGGCGTAAACAAAAGCAGAAGATTGTCAAAGATTCGTGCAAAGGCTTCAGTGGACCACAGCAGAGTCGGTTTCCGCAAATTGAAGAGCTGTTCGCCGAGTATCTGCTTGAGCAGCGAGCGGCATAGCGGCCCGTGACGACAGAACTGCTCTAAGTGCGGGCTATGCAGTTAGCTTTAGAAAAAGGGCTAACGCGGAGCCAGTTCAAAGCGAGCAGGTGCTGGCTAACTAACTTTATGAAGAGGAAAGGCTTTTCCCTCCAAAAGCGAACGGGCATGCGCCAAAACTTGCCGGAAGAGTACGAAGAAAAGCTTCACAGTTTTCAGAGGTTCGTCCCAAACTTGCGGCACAACAACGGCTACCTGCTTGATCAAATCGGGAATGCCGATCAGACGCCTCTTTACTTCTACATACCTGGCACCACAACCGTCGAGAAGAAGGGGGCGAAGCAAGTTCGCATGCTGACATCGGGCCACGGTAAAAAAAGAGTGACGGCAATGCTCCGTTGCACGTCAGATAGGCACAAGCTTCCCCCATACCTCATATTTAAACGGAAGACGCTCCCGAAAGAAGTCGTTTTCCCGAGTAGTATGATCATGCGGGCCAACGAGAAAAATGGGTGCGCGTTGCAATCGATGTCTTACTTCTTTTTTTTTTCGTCGTGAAAACCGAGTGTGCGTTACAATGGAGGGCGCGGTAGAATCGAGTAAATACGGTATTATCTTCAGTGGACGGACGAGCCACTCATGTCCAAAATAATTGAGGGTTTAGAGAGAGAAGGCAGCCTTGTGAAGAATGCTGATGCTGTGACGGCAGTGTGGCAGACTGACAAATCGGTCACTAGAAAGCTTGCCTGCTATTCCCAATAGCCTCCCTCTTCACTTCTTTTTTTTGGGGGGGCTGACTCTTGCTGCCTGTATTGTAATACTCAGTTCAGTGAGTGTCCCCAACGTGCTCTCTCTCATTCGGGGTCTGATGTGTGCGCAGTTCTTGCACGTCACAAATCAATATTTTTAGCCCTCATTACAGCTGAGCAAGATACAGAAATAGCACACGAGAATTCTTTGCTATAAACATTCTTGAAACTGAAAAGTGTGTCAAGATACAATCATGTGGACAGTGAAGATTCACCTGTGTTCATATCTTGACGTAATCATCGAAGTTGGCGCAATAGTTTTTCTGTAATGGAGTAATTTATTTCATATGTTGATTTTTCCTTGCAGTAATAACGAGCTAAAAAGGTTTGTTCATGTAAGATGACAGCTGAAATGTATGTGTATTTCGTGAATAAATTCATATGGGGCTGTTAATTAAGCAGCGATGTTGACTTAGGAGTAGCCTCAGAAATCTTAGCTTTTGTAGATACTTTTACAGGGAGAAAAGAATGGTTGGGCTCCCCATCGGCCATGTTTATAGATAAAATGGTGGTATTTCTAAAAGTTTTTAAACATAATTATGGCACAACTTCACCGACTTTATTAATTCTAGCAGTTCACTTATTGATACTTTCATTCCGGCTTTGAAATATCGCAAGTGTTCTGGCGGGTAATAGGAATGGAGCTGGTGTACCTCTGCAAGGTGCTGTGTGAACTCTGGTCAGTTTCCTCGGTTACGCACATGCACCAAGATCTAGCAATGCCTGTATTCTCTTCCTTTTCTGTTTAAATGTAGTGTATGGAAGGTTAGGAACACATGCTATAACGAACTGGATATGTAAATCTGAATTTGGTAAGTTGTGCTTCACTTCAGTGGAGTAATTAAGCCTGTTCTTCACCGTGTCACACCCGACACTGATACGGCTTCACTATAGCTGATATTTGTTTCAAACATATTATGTGTTACATTGCAGTAGTGGCGTGCACTTAACGTTCACATGGTTATATTGGGCAATAATATGCTCCAGCCATGTTCATTCTATCGAAGTTTAGCTGCACATTACAATGAAACCCTGTATTTAGCAAAACGGAATGTGTGGTGCACATAAAAAGCCACATATTGGGGACATTTCATATTGTATAAAATACATTAGGCTTTTTTTGAACCCTGTGATCTTAAATCTTGGATGTCAATTGGATGGCATGTCATAACTGTGCGCACAGCACCCTCTTCCTTGCTCTTGCATGAACTGCATGGTACAAAAGTTCTAGAAATATAATCGCATGTTGGTAAAGAAAGAGCGTAGGAAAAGAGAGATGCCCAAGAGTAAACATGCACTTGGCACCGATGCCTCTAGTTTTATGGCTATGTCGCAGCCATCAGGGTTAAAAAAAAATTCGTCTTACCATGAGGCCAGTTCTGATTCTAAATTTTTTCACTCAGCTGTTATGTTGCTTTAGGTTTCATTTCCTTTTTCTTTTCTTTCTTAAATTTCTGTTTTGTGTCCTACTGTGTAATCATTCATTCAGGTTGCTTGAAGACTCGGAAAATGAGAAATCCTGCGTAAGTGGTGAGGGTTGTACCCAGAACTTACTCGTTCATATTAAGGTTACTTGGTGCATCGTATAAATGGAAGTAGTGCTACATAACTGATGCACGCGTTTTCAGGCTTTTAGATTCTTTACACAGGTGACACCTCACAAAATGGAATGATTACTGAGAGTATATAAGAAGTTCAGTGTTGCAACTTTGATACTTTGAGTTTTACGGCAGCGCACGTGCCACACATAGTGGCAATTTGCATGTTAAAAAACAAAAATGCTGCCGAACTTTCCATGCCATTGCAATGACTTAGCTGAGCCTGAGGATGCTGATACTATAACTGAAAGTATAGTTGGCTTATGCTTCGAGCCATGGCAGTCTATTGAATGTATTGTGTTCCTTTTGCATCTAGTAAACAGTGGTTGAAGATGAACTGAAGTTCTCAAAATGCTGGTATAGTGATCGCTGATGTGGCTCTCTCAGCAAATGTCGATAGAGTTCTAAGCTATGGTGTGATATTGTGAGGTCGTGTGAGGAAATGGATGTGGATGAAAAATGTAGATATAACAACTTTTCTTAGAAGTGCACCTGCTGCAATGTTGCTGCCGAAAAATGTTTGGCAGTTCAGAGGTGGTTATACTAGAAAACTAGCCTTGCACATTTTGTGATGCTATGGCAGTTCTGAACATTGAGGCTGGGAACTGCTTACTGTTTGTTTCTAATCCCTTGCTTCAAACAGCTGTTGCAGGAAGTAATATTCACAGCAGTACCGCAATAATTGTTTAACGTTGGCTCATTGAACTTTCATTACAGGAAAAGAAGTCTCTCTAGAAGCTGAGTGCTGTCCATTTTCTTGTACTGTTGTCAGTCATACCAAAGATGTTGAGGACATGCAACACATCGTTCTTGAATCTAGCATTAGTCGCAAGGTAGTGTTTCAGTGTTCCATAGGTGTTCTGTGTTTGTCAGGTGCCTGTCTAAATTAAATTAATGGGCCACGAATTTTACATTGTGTTGTTTCTGTTCTAGATGATGCCTGGTGTATCAAGTTGAAGAACAAGAGAAGCTCAGACCCGATGCACATGCTTCGGCGTCTGGACCGAGTTATTCTTTTTCAAGATCAAACAGCCTTATTTTCAGTCTGCGATGCCATGCCATGGGCTCTTGCAGGCTTGAACTTTTTTTTATAATGTTGATTTAGGCTTGTGCTCACTCTTGCCATGTTTGGGTGTCTGGAGGCAACCACGTATTTTCTGTTTTATGTATATTTTTTTTACGTATTACTGATGCCTGAAGAACCTTGTTTCGCAGTCTGCCCTTTTGCATGTCTGCATTGTTATTGACAAGAGTAAAAATGTTGGAACGAAGTTTGCCAGCTTTTTGTTCTTATTTAGCTGTTGTGCCTAAAAAAATTTAGGCACGGGGGACAGTTGTGCAACTCTGAAATCGAAGCACCAATGCTGTGTCTACCATCTGTTCTCCTGATGATTGCTATGTGAAATGTGGGGCGGTAGGCAAGCCTTTGTAGGTGTTCAGTTAATGTTTTCTGATGAGTTGTGGTTTCCTGTACCCTAAATCACAAGCACCCTATTGGTGATTCCAGTTGCGTACCAACTCTTTTGCGAGTGAAGGGGGGCGGGGCAAACCTACCTCACTCGTCAGCCAGGATACATATATATATATATATATATATATATATATATATATATATATATACATACATACATACATACATACACATATAGTGGCAGAGGGAACTTTATCGACGCACTCGCACTTCGATATAAATTAGAATACAAAGATGTGACACAACGCGCAATCTTAGGTACCACAAAGTTCAATCGCACTTTACCAGGCCGAGGCATGGCGCCCTTTGCCCAATTTCTCTGCGTTCAATATGCGACGCTCATCTTGCTATCACCCCTCTTTCTCAGACTATGCTTTGGCGGTTAACATTTACAGATACTACTAAAGTTTAAAAACTTATCATGGATGTTACTGTTCGGCATGGAGGTGTATCAAATGTCAACGAAGGTACATTCGCGTTGAACGGAGCTATAGCTGCCAAACACCAAAACATGCATTCGGCGAACCCTCCTTTATCAATGTACAGTAAGCATTCGATTACCCCTGTAAAGGTGCATTTTACTTTCGTGTTATATGCAGATTCCTGTGGCGGAGGGATGAACCATGTTTTTTCAAGGAATGATTGCTATTACATTTTTTCATAAGTAATATAATAAGATATTTTCATAAGTAATATAAGATAAATATTTCCACATGCAGCAGAATGGTGTTTAGTAGTTTTTACACGTATCCATCTCTGTCAGCTCATACTTGCTGGGAGAAAGAGAAATAGAGAAAAGAGAAAAAGAGAGTGAGAAAGGAAAGGCCGGGAGGTTAACCAGATATTGGCATCTGGTTTGCTACCCAGCGCTGGGGGCGGGGAAGTAGGGGCAATGAAAGAGGGGGTAGATAGAGAAAAAAAAACGCATGTGCACTCATAAGAAAATGAAAACACGCACAGGAAGGGCGTCCAAGCTACAACCGTTCAGTAAGGCCGGTCGATCGCAAAAAGTGTAGTAGCGCTTTGAGGGCCTTCTTCTGTGAAGTTGCATCTTGTCGATATTGTAGAATTCCTTGCTCCGACAGAGGTTGATTATCTAATTTGCCGAGTTCATTGCGAAGGCATAGTCGTTTACTATACACCAGGCAGTCACAAAGAATATGTTGGATCGTTTCTTCTTTGCCACAGTGGCCACAGGCTGCGGTGTCGGCCATCCCGATGCGGAAAGCATAGGCGTTGGTAAACACAACGCCCAATCACAGCCTACATAACAGGGTCTGGTCTGCTCGGCAAAGCCTCGACGGGACTTGAAGACTTAGCGTAGGGTCAAGCGAATACAGTCGGGCATGCTTGAAGTGTGGCTGATTCCATTGTGATGTGGTTTGCTGGCGAGCAAGCTGGCGAAGCTTTCGTGCAGCATCTGTCCTAGAAAGTGGTAGTCGTAGGTTACGATCTTCTGTGTGGGCTGAGCGGGCAGCTTGATTGGCCCGTTCATTGCCGATTATTCCACAGTGACTGGGCAACCACTGAAATGTAATTTGGTGCCCTTTCTCAGTCAGGTGGTGTATAACCGCTGCTATCTCTAGTACCGGCTGCTCGTGTGGTCCACGGCGTAAGGCTGATAGTAGAGACTGCAGTGCCGCCTTCGAGTCGCAGAAAATAGTCCACTTGCGTGTAGGTTGATCAACTACAAATTGCAACGCGGCACGAAGTGCTGCCAATTCTTCTGCCATTGATGTTGTTGCGTGAGATGTTTTAAATTTAATTGTCGTGGCCAACCTTGGTATCACTACTGCTCCTGTAAAGCTGTCCGGCTGAACCGATCCGTCAGTGTATATATGTGTGGAGTCTTGGTATTTCTCATACAAGAGAAGTAGTGTGAGCTGTTTAAGAGCCGGTGACGACAATTTGGCCTTTTTCTGGACCCCAGGTATGTTAATATTAATCATTGGTTGAGCAAGGCACCATGGCGGGGTCACAGGTCTAGCGGCAGGAGAGAACGAAGTTGAGATCGACTCACCATGTGCGGTCACTGTTTTGCAGTAAGATGTGCATGGTCGGACCACTGGTAGAGAGGCTAGGTGATGTCGAGGAGTTCGAGCAAGGGGTTGTATATGTGTCCTCAGCACTTCCACATTATTGTAGGTCTTGATGAGGTTGTCCCTTGTGATGGCGATAGTTGCCACTGTTGACGCACTTTGGTGCAAGCCTAAACATATCCGGAGTGCTTGAGCCTGGACACTTTGAAGCATTCGTATGCTTGTTTTACTCGCGTTGGTTAACACAGGTAGGCTGTACCGAAGGAATCCAAGGAAAAGAATCCTGTATAGTCGCAACATAGCAGTTGTGGACATTCCCCAGTTCTTTCCAGCGAGGAACTTGAACAAATGACAGATGCCTGTCAATCGCCTTTACATGTATGATACATGTGAGCTCCATGAGAGGTCTCTGTGAATTATAACACCTAGGAACTTGTATGATCGGAGGTGACGTATCCTTTCGCTGTTTATCAGAATGCTGTAGTTCTGCATTGGTTTGCGCGTAAATGCCACAAGTGCACATTTCTCAGAGGAAATTTCCAGACCTCGTTGACGGAGGTAAATAGCAACTTGAGTGGCAGCTCTCTGAATTTGCGCTCGGAGCTGTAGAAGTGTTACTGCAGACGTCCAAACGCAGATGTCGTCCGCGTACATTGACAATCTGACAGTACTTGGCAGATGCTCATTGAGAGCTATTAGCGTCAGGTTGAATAGTACAGGGCTAAGTATGCCACCCTGGGGAACACCACGGTGGCTGTAATGTAGAGAAGTGTCACCATCTTCGGTTCTCACGAAAAAGGATCGCTCAGAGAGATAGCTGCGTAGCCACTGAAACATCCGACCACCCACTCCTACCTCCTTGAGAGCGGTGAGGACAGCTTCATGTGTGACGTTATCATACGCCCCTTTAACATCAAGAAATAAAAAAGCGCAGAGACGCTTACGGCCTTTTTCCTGTTGCACGTACCTGACCAGGTCTATGACGCTATCAATTAATGACCGGCCACGTCGAAATCCCGTCATAGCGTCCGAGTAGATGTTGTGATGCTCCAGGAACCATTCTAGCCGTCCAAGTACGATCCTCTCCATCACTTTGCCCAAGCAACTAGCCAGTGCAATCGGGCGATATGATGTGAGCACCAATGGTGACTTGCCAGGCTTCACTAATGGAACCAAACGGCTGGTCTTCCAGTTAACTGGGAGGGTGCCCTCTTGCCACGAATCGTTGTATATCTCGAGGAGGGCACTCCTCGCACACTCACCAAGGTGACATAGTGCTCTGTATGATATGCCATCGGCCCGGGTGCTGATGTCCGTCTACACAAAGCCAGTGCTGCTTTAAGCTCATGAATAGAAAAAAATTGGTCCATGTGGTGATCGTGTGATGTCGTTCCACCACGTGAGAGCGTGGAGATGTTGGGATCTGCGAGTTGACCAGATAAGTTGGCACAGAACTCTTCTACCACGTCGACCTCCGATCTCTGTTGAGAGAGGGCTAGAGCCTTGAATGGAGACCGCTGAATGGGAGCTGTCCGAAGCCCTCTTATTGTCTTCCACAAGTGTGATAAAGGCTTGCGAGGATCTAACGATGCGCAGAAGGCTGCCCAACGTTGTGACTCTAGCTTGTCTATGCGGCGTTGTATCTTCTTCTGAAGACGTCTAGCGATTCGTAAATCGTCGATTGCTTTCGTGCGTCGGTACCTTCGTTCCGCACGCCGTCCGAGAGCCCGAAGTCGTTCTAATTCCACATCAAATTCGGTTACTCTCGAAGAGCATGTAAGGATGCACACTGTGTCTTGGACTGTGGACTTGATCCCCTCTTCTAAGTCAAATGAGGTGTTCTCTTGACAGCGTTCTTCCATGAGAGATTCAAACTTGGTCCAGTCCACTCTTTGGATAGTTTCGCGTACCTTGCAAGGTGATAATCCTCTGATCTTGACATATGTGGGAATGTGGTCGCTCCCATGTGTTTCTATGTCCGCAAACCATCCGGCACATCTGACGAGACCTCGAGAAACAAAAGCCAAGTCAAGACAACTGCTGTATCCAGGGCCACGTAAAAATGTTGGGCTGCCATCATTTAACAAGCACAGCTCGTTGTCTGAAGCAAACGTTATCAGACTTCTACCCTTTGCGCTGATCTTCCGGCTTCCCCATAGTGTATGGTGGGCGTTGAAGTCTCCAATTACCACCCATGGGCTAGGAGTGGATGATAGGATGTGTCCTAGTCTTCTGTGGTCAAATCTACTTGATGGCGACAGGTATGCACCGACAACAGTGACAATAAGACCCTTTTTCTTCACTGTTAAGCTTATATATTGGTTATCGTTGTCAGGTGGTACAGACCGAAGAATGTAGGTCAGGTTACGGCGAATAAACAGCAGGACCTTGCTGTTTTCACTATAACAAGCCACATAAATGATTCGTATCCGGAGAGTCTGATAGCGCTCGATAAATTTGACTCGCAGATGACGATGATGGGAAACATATTGGTGGAAACGAACCGACGGAAGTCTGAAATGTGTGATTTCAGTCCCCGTGC